CTAAATATTAAATATTAAATGATCCTTGATTTGTAATAAAATATTAATTAAAAAATAACAAAATATACTCATGATTTAAATTTTTGTCTTTTTTTTAATGAAAATTTATCCTTATTTTTCAAAATTAAAAGATTAAATTTGTATGCTTAAATCATTTTTTATATTTACCATTCAAACTTTTTTTATAAATTATTGCATCTAAAATTAGTAATTATTAAAAACAATAATTTAATATATATTTTTAATTAATTATTAGTAAATATTTATAATTAATAAACACATAAGTCAATCAAATATAGAAGAAGTATATAAAGCACTCTTTAAGGTTAGTTATTGTTGTTGTTGTTATTGTTATTATTATTATTATTATTATTATTATATATTAGTGTTTTTCTTTTTCTCAATTCAACAAACACTAAAGCCATCTAACTATTTAATTAAGTCAATATTTGTTTAATTTACATTGATTGTGTTGTTAACTATACGTTTGGTATACCATTTTTTTTTATCTTTAGCTAATGTGAGATGTGGCTTAAGAAATTAAAAAAATATTATTGTAAGTATGTTTTGGAAGATATTGCTTCACTTCCAAATATTAATTGATAATGTTGTCCATAGGTTCTTTGAAAATATTTGAACAATTAAAAAATTAAGATTATTAAAATGCTTTAAAAAGTTCTTAGTTTAACCATCTTTAAAGCCTAGTCCCTTAAAATTTTTAAGCTCTTAAAACCCAATAGTTACATTAACTCCAAGTAATTAAGTGGATTTAAATATTCAAGTTTTATTATTCTCTTCATTTATTTTTAATTGTTATCATTTGATTTTTTGACTCTTTGAATATAAATTTCAAATAAAAATTTAACATATTATGTAAATGATATTTGAAAATTTGTTATGATCCAATAAAAACATTTAACAAAAACTTTATATCAGAAAAAAAAATTAATTGTTGTTTATATAAATTATTAAATTTTTATCTAAATTTATATCTAAAAAAATCAAAAAGTCAAACTAAAACTATTAAAAATGAATAAAAAGAATATATTTTTTTTCATATTCAACTCTAATTACCAATTTATGAAAACGGTGGTTTCACTATGTGCACTATGACATTTCTAAGTATGTTCTAGTAACCTATATTCACGTTCTCATTTTCCTTCTCGCTTGTCTCTCCTTCATTTTAGCCATTGTTGTGAATTCCCTACCCCGATTCTTTTTGCATTTGTCTTATTAGTTGTAACTCGCACCTAATAATATTATTTGCTTTATTTTTAATACAACTTGTATATGCGATTCGGAAAAACTAAGGAATTGCCTATAAGAGAGAATGGGAACCATGATAAGAGATACTATTTACACTACAAATCACAAAATTATTAGATAATACTATGTCATGTGATTTAAACAAATTGTTGTGATTAAAACACCTCATATCTAATCTTGTTGTGCTTTGGAGCATGATAGACCATACTAATAATTGCCACATGGCATGCCAAATTTGCAATTGTTGGTAATTAGCTCATAATAATGTGAAATTGTTTGATTTTAGTGCCCATAATGGCTAAATTTTAGGGGAAGTTACCAGCCAAGTTCAGCAAATGGGAGATGTGGGAGGCTAATCTAATGAAGTGGCAAACAAGTGATGAATTTTAAAGCAATCCTTGACCAAGTTTATTGCTAACATGTCTAGTTAGAACAGGTAGTTTTGACCACATTTTTTTGGCTGAATTGTGAGTGGTTGTAAGCTATTTTTTGGAGATTCATTAGCTATAAATATGAAGAAGTAACACATTCAAACGAGGT